GAAAGAGTTGACAAAAAGTGGTCTAGATAGAAGAAAATAATTCCGAAAACAACAATCATTAGGGTAAGCTTTAATCCTTACAAAATGATTCTATGGAGGAATTCAGACATAGCACCTTTTTATATGTTTCAGAGGTGTAGATTTTTTTAAAATTAATGAGTGGTGTTTTTTTTTACATAAATCGAATACTTATAAGATTTACAATTCTTCTGTGCTAGTCCCAGGAGGAGTAGGACAGACAACGATTTGCTTTAGCTTGGCTGCCAGTGTTTAAGTGGTTTCCTTAACATCCAGTTCCATAAAGACCCAAAAGTGAGAAATTTGAAATGTATTGGGTAATTTCAGGAAGCAACAAACTAAGACATTCAGTAGACTTGATGAAATAGATGTAGGAAAAAGGCAGTTTAGCCACTTCATGTTAAATAAGAAAGCCTGAATTCAAAATTTTAATGAACAGTCAAAATCTACAGCTTTGTAGCATGTGAAGAAAAGAAATGTCCATGTTGATTTGACATTTTACTCTTTCAATTAAACATTTATCACATAAAATTTATAGCAGTTTCTCATTAACCTTTTTGCTTTTTTCCCCTCCCTGTCTCAATCCCTCCTAAAAAGAGGGTTGGCAGAAATATAACATCTTGAAGACCACTTAGGGTTTGAAATACTTTTAAAAACAATTTTTTTTCTTTCTTTCTAATTAGGCTTTGAACTTCCTGAGGCCAGGGACTGTCTGGAAGCACCTGCAGTGGCTAGCACAAGGTAAGTCTACAACACATCTCAACCCCTTCTTTCTTTGGGTCCTAACACTCAGTGTAGTGCCTTGATATGCATGTAGTTGGCACTCAACAAATACTGTTGGATGGATGGGCAGAATATCCAAACAATATAGTCTTTTCACCTGGTATTCCTCATAAAATATGCTAAGAGTGAATTCTTCTTAACTGTGGATGATTAGTTTTTCTTTTATAAATAGAATTACCACATACACAAACTAGTGGAATAAGTAGGAAATGATATGTCAATGAGGGATTTACTTTTCAGTTCTGATTCATGAATGTGTGGGAAATCTAACAATGAGTTAAAGTTTTGAACTGGAGTAGCAGATGTCTGTAGATTAAACATTGATTGAATTTATCTGCTGCTGCTATGAAACTGTTGGCCCTCAGTGATGGTCTTGCCTACAGACTCTATTTTGGTTCTTCTGGAAGCTATGAAGCTATTTATTGTTAATGGGGGGATAAAGGGAAAAGCAGATTTTCAAACAGATTAACAAATTTTTAAATATTTAATCTCTGTTAAACAGTAATAGTTATGTTATGCATTCAGTTCTCACTACTTTGCAAGAAATGTTTTGCTATTAAGACAGCTTTGTTTACCTTACATAACCTTGTTATAAACATTTTATCTTATCATCATAGCACTTTTTGATGCAATTACTTACCAAGTGTATTTTTCTTGCTTGTTGCAGCTTAATAGTGTGCTTCTAATCTTAAATTGATGATTCTTTGACATAAGTAACTCCGATGCTTTCTCTCTAAGATATTTAATCTACTTCCTATTTTAAACTATTATCTGGTAAAAACCTATGAAGAACTATAAAACAAATTCAAATCACTTTTTATTGATGGTTCTAAATATACAATTTGTAAATAAAGTTTACCAAAAGTTCCTAGCATACTAGAATACTCTTATCTGCTAAAAATGTTGCATCTTCAGCTTAAAGGAAGAAAATACCATCTTCCCTATTCCCTGTGAACTTCAATTTTGGGTTGATGCTTCTTATAACTCTAAGGAAAAATAAATACATATCTGTGTATAGAGATGGTACACAAAATCCTTCAGAAACCAGCATGCTTTTGAAGTCAAATTAGATAAGAATTAAACATGAGAGATACAGGACTGCAGTAACGTTATTTTAGGCTTCGGGCAGGTTCCCCCTTGGCTTCTCGTTGTTGCTTTTTTACATGTTGTGAATCAGCTCAGCACCACAAAGCTTTCTTGTCTACCCCCGTCAAAAGGATGTCTTCTTCTCAACTCCCGGGTGTCTGCTCATACTCCCTGAAGATTTTAATCATTCTGCTTTATGGTTCAGCAATTTGTATAGAATCAGTTCCCATTTTCTGAGCACATTGTCTTCCAGAGTTAATTTGAAAAGCAGTTTTTATTTCTTTGGAATCCAAAATACTTGTTTCCATAGTACTAATAATACAAATAATGCTTCTATTTTCTTTTTAGGTTCTAGTGCTCTCTGAGCTAGTGCCTATAGAAATATTTCAAATATACCTCTACTGATGGCATTGCTTTTTCAAAATATACTATATCTATTGTAAGGGGCAAATTACATCGATTCTAAACCTAGGCTTGTCTGAATTCTATGCTGCTTACTAGCTGTTAGGCAAATTATTCAAATATGTTTGTCTGATATTTCTCCTCTTTAAAATGGAGAACTTCATACTGCCTACTTCCTATGTCTGTTGTGAAGACTAAATTCATTGACATATGAATGTGCTTTAGAACAGTCCCTGACACATGGTAGGGGATATATAGGTGTTATCATTATTACTTTCATTGAAACTTGGAGTATCAGGAACTTAAATGCCCACATAGAAGCATGTTTAAGTGTAGAAATAGTTCATATATTTTAGAAGTTCACACTCTAGAGACAGGATAGATACTTCAATCACAGAACACAGTATCTCATGATCAGAAAGAACATAACTAACTACCCTTTCATAAAATACAAATCAGAGGCAGAGCTGCCTCAAACAGGTGCTCACACTGCAGCGGGAAGGCTGGGAGGGTTGGGGGGCAGGAGGGAGGGGGGTAAGAGATCAACCAAAGGACTTGTATGCATGCATATAAGCATAACCAATGGACATAAGACACTGGGAGATAGGGGAGGCTAGGGGACTGTCTAGGGCAGGGGGAAAAAATGGACACATATGTAATACCCTTTGTAATACTTTAAGCAATAAAAAAAATACAAATCAAATGCTTTTTTTGTCTACTTGTATTTCCAAGATGATTAAAAATAGAAACAGAATATGTAACCATATTCATCTCATCACAAAAATGAAAGTAAAACTAGCAGCTATTATTATTGATATTATTTATTGAGCCCTTACAGTGGTTCTCAACCTTCCTAATGCCGCAACCCTTTAATACAGTTCCTCATGTTGTGACCCAAGCATAAAATTATTTTCGTTGCTACTTCATAACTGTAATTTTGCTACTGTTATGAATTGTAATGTAAATATCTGATATGCAGGATGTATTTTCATTGTTACAAATTGAACATAATTAAAGCATAGTGATTAATCACAAAAACAATATGTAATTTTATATGTGTTTTCCGATGGTCGTGACCCACAGGTTGAGAACCGCTGCCTTAGGATGTGCCAAGCATAAAGTGAAGGACTCTACATGCAATCCTCATGTCCTCCCATTACAGAGAAAGAACCTGATAGTGAAGGAGGCAAAGGTCACAGCTAATGAGAGTTAGAACAAGAATCCCAAATTCAACTTTCTGACTTTTAAATCTCATCTGATTTCCACCCTACCACATGCAATGCTCTGAACCAGGTCCAAAAGTACTAGTATTTTTCAAATTAATATTTACATATTCAAGTGTCTTTTTAGGGGTTCTTCTGCCACTTAACAAATCTACCTAGTTCTTTCTAATCCTGTCTTCTACATGTTGTCTATAAAAATATCATAAGACATATTGTCAAACAATTGGGGAAAGCCTAGTACACTTTATTTTTTTACTAACACACTTTATTTAGTGCATTCTGTTTGATCAGTATTCCCCCAAATGTCTTTTTTGAATATATTTTTATTGATTTCAGAGAGGAAGAAAGAGGGAGAGAGAAATAGAAATATCAGTGGTGAGAGAGAATCATTGATTGGCTGTCTCCTGCACGATCAGGGATAGAGCTAACAACTTGAGCATGTGCCCTGACTAAGAATCAAACCTCTTGGTTTATAGGTCAACGCTCAGCCACTGAGTCACCATGGCCAGCCTTCCCCAAAGCATCTTGTCCTCCATTGAGATTATCAGCACTCTTAGCAGTGTTGCTTTAAGACACTGCATTAGGAACTTCCTTTTCCCATTCATGAATATTGTATCATCAGTCATGAATGCAGTCATCTAACTCTAACATATGACAAAACATTGAACTTTTTTTATCTTGCAAAAGAAAAGATGGCGTTCTTATGTAGTGTACCCTTTATCCCTTCAATATACTTAACCTTTACTTTTGATATGTATATTATGTGCAATGCACATGGCACACATCTCACTGACTCTTCACAGTAAACCTCTGAGGCCTATACAGTGGGGCCTTGACTTACGAGTGTCCCGACTAACGAGTTTTTCGAGATACGAGCCATCTCTCGGCCGATTTTTTGCTTTTAGTTGAGAGCTAAAATTCGGGTTACGAGCCAGCTTTAGATACCCCACCGCTAGTTGGTGCAGCGAACATCACAGTGAACACCACAACATCAGCCCAGCATCACGTGTCTCACTCATTCACTTTTTGATTTGACAAGTAATTTGAGTTACGAGCTCCATCACAGAATGAATTAAACTCGTAAGTCAAGGCCCCACTCTACTTTAATGATCTCCATGGTAGGATAAGAGACCTGAGAGCTAGAAAAATCAAATATCTCGTCAAATTTACTCGACTAGTATTAGTATCAGGGTTTGAACACAAGTGAAACGTCAAATATAACAGTTGCCACTGTTCTGCAACGACCCCTGATTACTTTCAGTTCAGAGAACCCAAGGCATCTCACTAGAGGGCAAATGCATAAGGCTTCCATGCCCCTGACAGTTCCTCCTTAAGTGTCTAGATCAGGGGTGGGCAACCCCTGGCACACGTGCCAAACATGGCACACCAGTAACTTTTGCTGGCCCATGAAACCCTCTCTTATAATCTTCCATTTACAATTTTTGTCTTAATATCAACTTTTTTTATTTTTCAGATAAATTCAGTGTAGGTGCATCTTAGGTAAATAAATAATTTTACATAACATGTATACATTAAAATGTATTTTTCATCATCATATACTGTGTTTTTGTTGCTCGAATTAATTTTATTATTTCTTCAAGGTTCTTCACATATGTACACCTTAAGAAATATCAAGTAGGCATAACATGTTCTCAAAAAATTAGGGTTGGCACGCAGAAGAATTTTGAGTCAGAGATTTTTGCTGGTTTTGGCACGCACTCACAAAAATGTTGCCCACCCCTGGTCTAGATTGTAAACTTTTTCAAAGGAGTGTCTGTCTTCTTACATCTTTGTGTTTCTCGCAATATCTAAAAAAAATGCCTAGACATTCTATACAACTAATAAATGAATGAATGAGAACATTATGGGATATCTAAGATACTGTCAGTGATGAATATACTAATCTATAATTAAAGGCTCAAATCTTTTGCCTTGGGACTATTGACCAAGCTCAGTTAATTTGGTTAAATAAGCTGTCTCTTTCATATGTTGTCATTGTCACATTTCATGATTGGATCAAGCTAATCCTAGCCAGAAACTGCTAAAATATCTGAATTTAGAAATGCAAAAACATGTGGGGTGAACATATTATTGTGGGTTTCCTGGCCAACTGCTTGGCTTATTTTGGCAAGTGCAGTTTAGTTTCTTGTGTATGATGACATTTGTGTATATGCTCTGCAGTATCATGTTTTAATATGGACCAATGCTAATGCCTATAAATAGTTCACATTAAGTGTAAACTTCTGG